CAACCTGGCCTTGGACACTTCCAGGGATGCAGGGGCAGCCCCAGCTTCTCTGGGCACCCTGTGCCAGGGCCTCCCCACCCTCACAGGGAGGAATTTCTCCTCAATATCCCATCTAAACCTGCTCTCTGTCACTTTAAACTTCTATCCCCTTGTCCTGTCACTGCATGCCCTTGCAAAAAGTACCTCCCCCTCTTTCTTGTAGACTCCCTTCTGTATTTTTATAGCCTTGAGTTTTGTTAAATTATGTGTTATTCTAAAAACTACTTCCTTGTGCTTAATTTAAACCTCTCACCTGATCATTGCACAAGGCACTTTCCCATGTAGCTTATAGAAGTAATGATATTCAAATTTCTTACGTGTTTTCTGTTCTGCTTATAACTTCATGAATTAATATCCTCTCTTTTTTTTTTTTTATTTTTCCATTCACATTTATTTTAAGCTGTACAGTTTTAGGCAATTTCACCTACTTTCCTAGGGAAATCCCTGCCTGCCTTCTGTGCAGTGACTTTTCATACACTCATGGACAGGTGGATGGCCAAAGCTGAATGTTCTTGTTGGTTGTTTTTGTGGGTTTTTTCCCCCCACATCTTGCTTTTTATTTACCAACCTTCAGTTCCAGTGACTAGGTACTTTTTTTGGTGCAAAAACTAGTATTAAATCATATATTTATATATATATATATTTAAAAAATATTAACTGCTCAAAAAGATCCCAATCTACCTGAAAAAGCAAGAAGCAAATTTGGACAACACTTTCTCCTTGCCCAACTGGCAAAGTGAACAGTATAAAAACATTTCTGAGAACATTTGGTACAAGGGGCCTGTTTGGTGGCAATTTTGTCTGGAACAGCAATCACAGTGTACTCTTGGATTTTTTAATATTACCCTCTACTTGGAGAGTGATAGATTTAAAACACCTTCAGTCCTGAGAATTTTATTTGTTTACTTGAGCAATTTGAAGGGAATTGGAGATGAAGTCCTCAGCTCCTTGATGTTTTCCCTTGAAATGCAGCCTCCTTGTTTGTCATCTATTCAATTTTCCTCACCATTATTTTTATTTGTATGTAAAGAGAAAAGACAACCAGGGTGGTTCTGGGAAAGAAAAGCCTTCAATAGGTTTTTTTCCTGCAGCATGAACAGAACTAATTTGACAGCAATTACAGCAGCAGGGCTCTGAGGAGAAGGACTGAGTGAGTCCCATCCTTTCACACAGCATCTCTTCACTCCAAGTGGCAAAACAACAATGGCCAGGATGCCTTGTCAAAGCTGCCTTGGAACAGAGACCAGACAGAGCTGAAGAATAAAGTAGGGATTTATCAGGTGTTTATCAGATCCACCTTGGGCAGCACAAGAGCCCAGCCAGGGCTGCACCCAAGATGAGCCAAAATGGCCACAAAATGGACAACCAGTCATGGGGTCTCTCACTTTTGTAAGTTCTGCTCCATTTGCATATTGTTGTTAATTGTCCAATTCCAGCTTTAGCCCATGCAGTCCCATCCTGCTTGTTTTTCTCTCTTCAGCCCACGTTGTTTATGCTCTTGGGCCTGAGATCTGGATCATTTGTCCTTGGTGCCCAGCTGGAGCAGGAATTGTTTTGTCTCCCTGCTCTGTGCAGAGAGCTCACCATCCCCTGATAAGAAGCTCAGACCCACACACTAAAGCAGCACAGAATCTGAAAAATAGAAGAGCTCAAACCTGAGGCATCAGCCAGAGCCAAGCACTGCCCAGAGCCAGGAGTTCTCCCGAGGATGACACAGCCCTGGTAACTGTGGAATTGCCCTTTTTTTGCAGCTTTGTACAAACCTGCCAGAGGACCATGAGCAGATGTGGGTGGATGGCAGGCTGAGTAGCTCAGGGTGCCACAGGGAATTGTCCCAGAGGGAGCATCCCAGAAACAGCCTGGGAAGGAGACCTCATTGTAGCCTTCCAGAACTTTCTTCCCTGTGAAGAAGCCCTGGCACAAAGCTGTGGCTGTCCCTGGATCCCTGGAAGTGTCCAAGGCCCGGCTGGGCAGAGCTTGGGGCAACCTGGGATAGTGGAAGGTGTGGGAATTAGATCTTGTTTAAGATCCCTCCCAACCCAAACCATTCCTTCTCTGAGTACTTTAAAGCAAACTCATCTCTAACCTCCCGTGCTTCTTTTCAAGAAAAGAGTTTAAATAAAAGGTGCCCTGTCATGTTCATAGCAAAGGATTAAAAAAGCAATTATGGAAGGCGAGATCTTGATTTGGATGTTTAAGATGTCTTGTAAAAATCCAGAGAATTCTCTAAATAGAACTTAAACTGAAAGCATATGAAGGCATGAATTCTCAGCTCCTATTTTCACTGTTAATATTGTATAACTAAAACCAGATCCAGCAAAAAAAAAGGATTCTTTTAATGGGAGGAGCATAATTTTAGCACAGCTGCCACAGAAACACACAGGGCCAAGCTCTGCCCACAGTTGCCTCTGGAGATAGCTGGGTTTAATGCATTTGCAGGAGCCATGTGGAGAAAATCTCTGGCATGCTGTTACTAATTTCATTTGTGGAAGATGAGATAAATATTAATGAATATAAACACCTATTAAATGTAGACTCACCAGTTAAATAACTGTGCTGACTGCATTAATGTGCTTTGTAGTCAGGAATGTTCAGCTGGAATGATGCCTTCTGAAAGGCAATTTCTGCACGTTTATAATTTTGTCAATGCTACCTGAAAAACCTCCTGTTGAAGCTGGAAGCCTGCAGACATTTTTTCTTCACATCAAGGTCATTTCCATCCCTTTTTTTCTGCTCCTCACTGCTTCCTTGGCAGCGCTGATCAAAGCATCTGAGGGGTGCCTGATGAGCAGCCCTTCATTATTTCATCCAGGACCAGATTTTGGACCCAGAGCACTGCATGGCCTCCCAGAACAGCTGCTGCAGTTCTGGTGAGGAACAGCACCAAATAACTGAGCTTTGCAGGATATAGAAATTAGCTGACAGGAATAAAATAAGGTGCAGCTAATTCGTGCTGCCTCCCCATGGCTCCAGCTTAAAAAGATTTAAAAATACTGAAAAGTGTCAAAATAATCAGAATCTATTATGCAACAGTAGGAAATACTGAAGCTGTTCTTTACATAGCCAGTGACACAAGATTTTTGTGTGCTTTCCTGGGGGTTGCTGTTCCTTTTGAAACCCTAAAAGAGGTTACTGCTTTTTTCCTTAGCCTTTCACAGTAGTGGAACTAAAAGCTAGAGGTACAAATTGTGTGTAGATATATAAATTCTGTGATACTATGCATCCTACAGTGAAGAATAGGCATTGTATAATGTGCAGTTGTAGAAAACTGTAGTCATTTTAATAAATTCATAGTCAGGAAATGTCATTTAATGAATGTAGAAATCGATGAACGGTGCTGATTTATTTATTAAGTATATATTATATTTTTTTACATATATATAAATAAACACATACCTATGTATGTTTATTTACATAAATAAACAAATATGTATATATTAAGTATATATTATATACATATATAATATATTAAAATGTATATAGAAATATTTATTTATTTATTAAGTATAAGGAGGATAGGGAAAATTGAGGAGGAGAATTCTGCTGGAGGCTGTGTCCATCATAAAAGAGGATTAAGGAGGGTGAGATGCTTCACTCACCTTGCTCTCCTCAGTCAGGACTTTAACCTTACACTGTAAAAACACTGGGCTGTTTCTAACTGAGCTGAATTTGAATTATGACCTCCTTGGCAACTCTTGCATTTCACTTGGCTTTGCTTTTGAACTGCTGCAGGTTTGTTTGGGGCTTCTTCTCCCTCCCTGGAGCTGGAGTTATAAATTTGCCATATAACATTTCGTGATAGATGGAGTGTTGGACTGTTGGGAATGAGCTTTTTGTGACACTGACCTAAAGGTGCCACTACTCAGTGAATAAAAACACTTCCCCTCTGTAACCCTGGGCTTGCTTTATTCTCTAAACCTGCAGGAAAAACGCATTTTGCTTCATCCTGATCCATTAATGCAAGAAATACTTGTTCTGACTGTGACAAGCCTTCCTTTCAGTGGTCCTGGTAATCACAACAAACGAGGTCAGCATTTCCCTTGGTCCTCCTCAGGCTGTTAATGCCCATGTGGGATAATCTTGGGGACACAAAGAGCTATCAGAAAATGTCAGGAAGGCCAAAATGGTTATTTTTCATAGTTGTCATTGTTAGAAAGTTCAAGAGAAAGAAGTGCTGAGTAGCACTGCTGGTGATAATGACAAATAGTGAGGGCTTTGCTTAGAATAGAGGGGAAAAAATTGCATTCGAGAGGGCTCTTGGGAAATCAGGCTGCCTGGGTGGCAGGAATTTCAATAAAGAGCTTTGAAGTGATTTCAGAATAATTTGTGGTGCTTTCTGATAAATTTGGGTGGATAGGTGAGGAACCTGACTGCTGAAAAACTCGCTCAGTACCTGTCTCTAATAGAACAAAAAGGGACCTGGGTAATTACAGATCAGTTTAATTTCACTTGCAGGAGGACAAAAAAAAACCTGAAAAAAAAAAGCACAGGTGTGGAAGGTGCTGGACAGGTAAAACCACGTGGTTGTTTTGGGGAAGTGTCATCTGCTGGTGTGAAAAGTCCCTGCCCATTCCTCCTGTAAACCCCTGTGAGGTACTGGAAGGCTGCTATAAGGTAAATTAAATGGGTACTTTCAGGTAGTTTAATTCAGTCTGGGATGGTGAATAGAAGATGTTGTTTCCTATATTTGTGAGCAAACTAGTACAAATTTGAGAATCTGTAGGCTAGTGTGATGCCTTAAGAGCTGGAACAGAGGCTGGATGGAGTTAAGAGGAATAAAGCGGAGATTTATTGAGGTGCCTTTATTTATATATTTATAGATAAACAAATATATATTTTAATATATTTATATAATATTATATAATATATAACATATAACATATAATATAATATACAACATATAGTATAGAATATAATACATAATATATAGTATACAGCATATAATATATAATATAAAATATATAATATATAATATAAATTTATATATTTATATAATATGTATGTTTATTTATATTTATTTATATATATATCTAGTGCCTTCAAAGGCCACACCCTGGCAGTACCAGAGCCACAGTCTTGGCTCTGCCTGGATGGCTCCAAGATGGAAGCAAAAGAGGTCACAAGATCTCACATTTTTATAAGTTTTAGTTCATTTGCATCTAGGAGTTAACTGTCCAATTAATAGCTTCAAATGATGAAGTTTCATTCTCCTTGCTTGCTTGCCCACCCTCCTCTTCTTATGTTTTTTATCCTTTGGGCCTGAAGTTTGAAGAGATTGTCCTTGTGTCTCCAGCTAGAATGGGATTGTTTTGTCTTCACCACCCTGTGACAAGATCCCAGTAACAGTTAAAATGAAGCTAAAAGCTGCACACCAAAGCAGAACAGAAAAACCTAAAAAATCTAAGGCAGGTTTTCTCCTTAAGGAAGGTTTTCTCCTTAAGGCAGGTTTTCTCCCAAAGGCAGGTTTTCTCCTAAAAGCTGAGGAGAGGTTTTGAGCTGTGATAAATTGAGAAATGGTGATGGGAAGGCTGGGAACACCGCTGTGTGAGTGTGAGCTGCCGGTTTGGAGGAGCAGCCCTGCAGGCACGGCTGCTGCTGGCACAGGGTCACCAGCTGAACACGAGTCACAGACGGAGCCCCTTGTGCACAGGCAGACACCACGCTGGGTGTGAGCTGTCCTGCAGACAGCAGAGCACACACTGCTGGCTCCTCCTGCTGCTCTCAGCCGGAATTCCTGATTTTGGGGCTGGGGCTCCCTAGGAGACCCTGCGCCCTCATCCCAGCCCTGCTGGGCCAGAGCAGAGCTCTTGTGCCCGGCTCATTGATGGGCAGCCTGGCACAGAAAAGCTCCTTCCTGCTGCCAGCAGGGCAGGCAGAGACTGACGTGGGTGAATGTGGTTGTGTTCACAGGTCCCTTGATTCCATGTTCCAGAAGGCTGGTTTATTAGATTATGATATTATATAATATTAAAATGCTATACTAAAACTATACAAAAAAGAATAGAGAGAAAGTATCCATCAGAAAGCTGGAGTGGAATGGAATGGAATGGAATGGAATGGAATGGATAATAAAATCCCATGACTCTCAGAGAGTCCGACACAGCTGGACCATGGTTGGTCATGAAGTAGAAACAACTCACATGGACCAATCAAAGATGCACCTCTTGTGTTCCACAGCAGCAGAAAATGATTGTTTTTCTTTTCCTCTGAGGCTTCTCAGCTTCTCAGGAGAAAAAATCCTGGCAAAGGGATTTTCATAAAATATCGTGGTGGCAGGTGAATCAATGGGGTTCTCTCTTGGGTGCTGTGCATGGTGATGCCCTGGGCCACACAGAGGTGCTGTGATGCTCTGTGACCACTCCAGCTTCTTTAGCAGGTATTTCTGTCCATTTCTGTTCCACTTCTGTCCATCTGTTTTCCCAGACAGAGAGATGCTCATGCTTAGGTAGCTGTGAAAGTCCCTTATTAGTTTTTTTCTCCTTGATCTCACTGCCTGTTTCTCTTGGTTTTAACTGCACAGTCCCAGAGGATGACCACGTCCCCCAAACTGGATTTTTAGGGAGATGTTATTCACACAGTACCTTGTTGTGTTCTCTGGGTGCTGCCTGAAGTCCACAGGACTCCTGGGAATTGCATCCACGCTGTCTTTGCAATCAGTCTGGGCTCAGAATGGAGCTGGATCAGTTCCTCCTGTCTCAGGAGCATTTCATTTTCCTGCTGCTAAAGGCAGGTGATGGAACATCCTCAAACATAACCCCCACTCTGGGGGTCATCTTGTTTGCACACATTTGGTCATGGATAAGGGGGCTGGCTGCAGGACATAATTTGGGCAATAAATACAGATTTATGGCTTTAAACCACAGTGAGGACAGGTAGGTTTTAACAAGCTGCTAGACCAGGCTTTAGAATGCCTCTGTCTCCTCTCCTAAAGACATCCAAAGGATCTCTCCTGGCTCTCTGGCATTGCCAGCAGCAGAAGGGTTGGTCTCCAATGCCCCCTGCACAGATCCTCAGTGCTCAGTGGCTGTCTCCTGCCTCCATGAGCATTTCCTGGAGAATTTTCAGTCCTTCCCAGCTCATGGCTGTTTATGAGGGACTCTCTGCTGCCTGCCAGCGTGGCTCTGGGTTTTGCTGGGCTACGCTGATGGAAATGTGAAAGATAAATGAACCTGCAGGTGCTCGGTCAGAGCTGGCACGTGGTTTTCCAGGCATGGGAGCCAATTCTCAGGGTCAGAGTGTCTGGACTGTGTTTGGCCAAGTGCCTGGATGGTGGCCAGCATCACGAGAGTGGCTCATTACAGCAGGCTGGCCAGGGGACAGGCACCACTTGGTTCTTGGCCTCTCCTTTGCCAAATGGTGCTGGGGTCACAGAGCACAGGGCGAGACACCCACGTGTCCCTGCCCTTTGAGCAGAGGCTCAGCAACATTCCCAGATGTTCCTCCAGCAATGCCAAGGCTAAACAAACAGCAGCAGAAGGGATGGCCCCGTTGTGGTGCTGCACAAAGCTGCCAGACGGCTCCAGGACAGGTTTTGTGGAGTTGCTGCTCACAGTGAGCAGGGTTGAGTGTCGGGGAGGAAATGAGGGAGCAGCAGGATCACTGCTGGATCTTTCTCAGCTCTGATTAGGAAGGAGCACTGCAAGAGGTGATGGCTGACCTCTGAGCTCTGTGTGCTGCTGCTGCAGAGAGGGTAAATACAGAATCAATAGCAGCTTTTTGAACACCTTTTTTTTTTTTTCCCCAAGACAGTTGCTCCCAGGGGCATTTATTTTAGGAGAGAGGTTATCTCAGGAGTCATTTCCCAAGAGACTTCTCTGTTATGTGATGTTTTAGCAAGAAAGACCTTCTCCAGAGACTGTGCATTCTCTCGGGGGAATCATGTTTTACAGAGCATTTCCTTGCATGTTTCAAAAAACCAATTTCTGTCCCCATTTATTTGAAAACACCACCTCGTATCAGTCGTAGCCTTCAGTCTGTGCTGTGGTGGCCTCCCTCACCTCCCAGGCTGGACTTCAGGGGGACAGGAGTCACCCTGCTGTCTGCAGCCAGTGCCTGTGCTCAGTGCTGCCCTTGGCCACAGGCACTCCAAGCCCTGGGTCACCACCCTCTCTGGAAGTCTCATCCCTTCTGCTTTAGGATAAATGTCCAGGAATATGGGCCCAGGCTCAGGGAATAGTGAAGCCAGAGGTCACAAAAACCTCCACAATTCAGTCCTTTCCCTCTTGGTTTCCCCACAGGAATGATTTTGCTGCCATTTGTGAGCCCAGTTCAGCCCTTAAGGGGCTTTGCCAGAGTCCCAGGGTGACAAATTCAAAGCCAAACAAGGAGTGGTGTCGTGCTGCTTCCCACCAGTGCCAGCACTGCCACAGGATGATTTCTGGAGCTGAAAGACCTCTGAAGTGCAGGGCTGTCACCATGACATTTTTCTGAAAAATCCTTTGCCAGGATTTTCTCCTGAGAAGCTGAGGAGCCTCAGAAAAGAAATGGAAACAATAGAAAGAAAATAAATGTGGACAATAACTATCTGATGGCTGTGGAATGTGCGCTGGAGGTTGTTTACCAACAAGTGCATCTTTGATTGGTCTCATGTGAGTTGTTTTTACTTGATGACCAGTCATGGTCCAGCTGTGTTGGACTCTCTGTCACGAGTTTTCCTTTTCCTTTTCCTTTTCCTTTTCCTTTTCCTTTTCCTTTTCCTTTTCCTTTTCCTTTTCCTTTTCCTTTTCCTTTTCCTTTTCCTTTTCCTTTCCTGCCTTCTGCTGAAATCCTTTCTCTATTCTTTTTAGTATAGCTTTAGTATAGTATTTTTAATATAATATACTATCACAATACAATAAATCAGCCTTCTAAGAAATATGGGGTCAGATTCATCTCTTCCCTCATCCTGGGACCCATGAACACAATGACACAGGGCTGTCTGGAAAATCCTGGAGTTTCCCATTTCCTCTGGGCTTCCCATTTCCAAGGCCGGGCATTGCTGGATTCCCAGCCTGGTTTAAGTGGGGCAGAGAATGTGAGTGGAAGGGGAAAGATATTGTATTTGTGGGGTGCCCCGATGAAGGCAGGAATGATGAATCTGACTCCGTGTGTTCAGAAGGCTCATTTATTATTTTATGATACTATCTTATATTAAAGAATACTAAACTATACTAAAGAATACAGAAGGGATACTTACAGAAGGCTAAAAAGATAATAATGAAACTCATGACTCTCTCCAGAGTCTTGACACAGCTTGGCATCAATTGGCCAATGAGTGAAAACAACTCACAGCAAAAACCAATGAAACAATCACCTGTTGGATAAACAATCTCCAGCCAGATTCCAAATCAGCAAAACACAGGAGAAGCAAATGAGATAATATTGTTTGCCTTTTCTCTGAGGCTTCTCAGCTTCCCAGGAGAAAAATCCTGGGCAAAGGGACTTTTCAGAAAATATGAAGGTGACAGAAAGAAATGTCACAGGCTGGCAGGGAGCTGTCTGCCCCTGCAGGGACCCGAGGTGGATCCAAGCCATCAGGCTTCACAGCCAGGACGAGCTGCTAATTTCAGCGGTGGCACAGCCCCAGCTGCCCTGCCTGGAAAAACGCTTGGGTTTTGTTTGTGCACAAGGGAGTCGTGTTCTGAGGGTGCCCCATCCACCACGGGGGACGTCTCTGGGAGCAGAGGGCCAGCACTAATGCCATCCTGTGTGGCTGGGAATGAATTCAGCCTTTATTCTGTGCTCTCCATCCCTGCTGGGCCCGGAGCTGACAGGCAGGAGGAGATGCTGCCATTTACAGCTCCACACCCTGGTGCCTCTAATCCCGCACAAAACCCGGCCCGTGGAGCAGCAAACACAACAAGACCTCTATTCTTAGCCTGGAAAGCCTCAAAGCTGGTTCTTTGGGGTGTGGGGAGATGAATATGCAGTTGCTGGAGCTGTCACAAAGCCCTGAGCTGGGAGCAGACGCTCCTCTCCCATTGGATCCGTGGCCTTGGCTGCAGCTTTTCACAGTTACATAAATATGGCCTATTTTCCCCTCCCAAATTAACATCTTGCTCGCTAAGTTTAGGCTCTTGCATGCATACAAAACAAACCTGCTTTTTCACATGCAGCTGGAAATCCTGGGTCGCCCAGGGAGAAGCTGTCCCTGCCCCTGTAGAGCTGGGGGCACCTTCACGGTGGTGACAGAGAGTGGCACTGACAGTGTCCCCCTGCAAGTCCTGGACACCACACTGCAAATCATCAAATTGCCCTTTTTTTTCCCCTCTGGGAGAGTCAGATCCCAGCCCACAAGGCTGCCAGAGTGTCTGTCCTCCTAGAGACCAGAAGTTTGGCTTGGGGCACAAGAGCAGACAGCTCCTCACTCCCCACAAGACACAGATGTGGGGATTATTTTCCCCCAAAGATGGTTCTTGCCCACCCTCCCCAATGGCTCTGCAGTGTATCTGCATTAAAAACAGCCCTGCAGAGAATGGATGTCACTTGGAAATCTCCCAGCCCTGGGCTGTAGGAAAGCTGTGCATCCTCAGAGACTCCTGGCAGCTTTGTTAGTGATGTCAGTAATACAGATGCAGAGAGCTGCAAGAGAGATGCTCACACCCCCCTTTGCAGTGACAGTGCTCCCAGTTTTAACATCCTAGAGGGATCCAGCTCCCCAGCACCACTGGGATCTCTCTGGGATGGAGAAACAATCATGATCTTGTCATGGCATCAAACCTCAGCTCCTCTCTGCTCTTGTGGTGGGAATGAGGACGGGATACTGATGGCTTGTCAAAGCTGACCTAGGACAGAGGCTGGACAGAGCTAAAGAATAAAGCAGGGATTTATTAGGAGGCCTCAATGGATCCACCTTGGGTAGCACAAAAACCCAGACAGGGCTGACCCCAGGTGAACCCAAAATGGTCACAAAAAATGGACAACTGCTCACGGGGTCTTACACTTTTATAAGTTCTGGTCCATTTGCAGATTGCAGTTCATTGTCCAGTTCCAGCTTTAGCCCATGCAGTCCCATCCTTGTTTTTCTCTCTTCAGCCCACGTTGTTTGTGCTCTTGGGCCTGAGATCTGGATCATTTGTCCTTGGTCCCCAGCTGGAGAAGGAATTGTTTTGTCTCTCTGCTCTGTGCTCTGGTCCATTTGCAGATTGCAGTTCATCGTCCAATTCCAGCTTTAGCCCATGCAGTCCCATCCTTGTTTTTCTCTCTTCAGCCCACATTGTTTGTGCTCTTGGGCTGAGATTTGGATCATTTGTCCTTGGTCCCCAGCTGGAGAAGGAATTGTTTTGTCTCCCTGCTCTGTGCAGAGAGCTCACCATCCCCTCATAGGAAGCTCAGAATTGCATACTAAAGCAGTGCAGAATCTGAAAAATAGAAGAGCTCAAACCCGAGGCATCAACACCTGGTTAAAGGCCCTGATCATCCCTTGGGCCTTGGATGTGCTGCTCCAGGCAGAGAATCCATCCATAGCACGGACCCACAGCGAGACCTGCTCTCGTGCAGGGCTGATGGAATGCTGAGACTTGAAATATGCTCTGGCAGCTCCTGGCAGGGTGATCTGTGAGGAGGGGCTTTCCTGGAGCTGGCTGCCAACATCCTGAGGCCACTGGAGCAGGCAGGGCACTGGATCTTGCTCGGCAGGACCCATCCTGTCCTCGCTGTGGGAATGCTGCTCATTTTAGGTGAGACTGGGAGGTGTGTGACCGAACACAGCCACCAGGGATGGGGATGGGCCTGGCGTGCTCCCAGGGCAGTGCTGGGCAGGGCACTGGCTTGGAAACTCTGCGCGTGTAATTCCATGCGTCACCCATTGAGTTCTATTAACAGCAGCCCTGTGGCTGGAGATCCGTGTGCCTGCAAACACCAGTGGGAAACTTGGAGTAAAACGGGATTTTGGGGAGGGTGGAATACCTCCAGCATCTGACTTGACTTTGATTTAACCCTTCTGACCAAGCTGAGCTCCCCCAGGTGAGATCTGAGTGACAAAACATTGGAGCAGAGGAGGGAAAGAGATCTGGGAACTTTCAAAAAAGCTGAAAAAGGCATGAGGTACAAAGGTCTCCCTTCCTTCCAGAGGATCACACACTTCTAAGCACACAATGTTTTAGAGAAATAAAATCCCCTTCTCCTTCTCCTTCTTCCTATTATTATTATCAACATAATTATAATTATAATTACTGTTGTTGTTTAGATATAATATATAATATATAATATATAATATATAATATATAATATATATTATATAATATATTATATATAATATATTAGATATAATATATTAGATATAATATATAATATATACTTTAATGTCTTCACACAATTTTACAGCACAGTACTAACCAATATTTTATTCCTTGCACAAAACACTGATTTTGTCAGATTAAACTCTTTTCTAACCCAAAAATAGAACAGCTAAGGAGCATTTTAAAAACTTTTATTTTATTTTCAGTCTCATGTGAAGAGTGAGGCAACGCAGATGTTATAATTCACACCATCACAATCAAAAGTCAACTATTTCTTAATTACAATACATTATAAGTGTTTCTTAACCTACCAATTTTTACTACACTATACTATAAATACTCTAAAACCAATTATCTAAAATTACCCCTCGTAAGTTCTACTACAATGCATCTTTCATGGTTCTATTTCTGTAAAATATCTATTCTTATTTACAAAACCATCTTTGAAAACTTATTTCTAATTCCATTTCTCTCTCAACAGTATCTGTCCTATTCCATAACATTTATAAGCCAACATTTCTTATCTCAAAATTTACATACAAATATACACTATATAATCCTTCCATCAAACTTTAAGATTTCTCTGCAAATCTATTTCCCAGGTAACAGCAAACAAAGACCACAAAAATTGTATTTGTTTTGGTTTAGGGTAATTTTGGAAGAAAAAGTTTTAAAGGCTTTTTTTTAGAAAAGTAAATTTAAGTGGGTTTTTTTAAAAATGGGTTTAGGGAAAATATTTTTTTGGAGAAAAGTGGAAAAATTTGTTTATTTAATAGGCAAAGTATTTATTAGTATAAAAAATGAATAACATTAAATCATAAAAATTTTTGTTGTTTTAAAGGAGATGATAAATTTAGAAAGGTTTTTTGTGGTTTGTAGCTTGGTTTATTTCGTTTTTTATTGCTTTTTTGGTGTTGGAAATGTTGTGGTTTAGGTTTTGCTGAGTTATAGGTGTGAGGTTTTGGGTGTTTAGTTTGGAATAGGTTTAAAGAAAAGGAAAAAAAACCCCTATAGTTTAGGGAATTTTTTTTTGTTTTAGTTAAAATTAATTAAAAGTAAAGGAGAGTTTTGTTTTGTTGTTTGTTTGCAGATAATATAGGAGTAGGAATGTGGAGTAGGAACGATCTGTATTGGTGTGAGGCCCTGATCCCTTTCCTGATCCCTTTCCTGTCCCTTTCCTGTCTCTTTCCTATCCCTTTCTTGTCCCTTTCCTGTCTCTGTCCTGTCCCTTTCCTTTTTCCTGTCTCTTTCCTATGACTTTCCTGTCTTTTCCCCATCCCTTTCCCATCCCTTTCCTATCCCTTTCCTGTATCCATCCTGTACCTTTCCTGTCCCTTCCCTGACTCTTTCCTATCCCTTTCCTCTCCTTTTCCTTTTCCTTTCCCATCTCTTTCCCATCCCTGTCTCTTTTCTGTCCCTTTCCTGACTCTTTCCTCTCCCTTTCCCATCCCTTTCCCATCCCTTTCCTATCCCTTTCCTGTATCCATCCTGTCCCTTTCCTGTCCCTTCCCTGACTCTTTCCTATCCCTTTCCTCTCCTTTTCCTTTTCCTTTCCCATCTCTTTCCCATCCCTGTCTCTTTTCTGTCCCTTTCCTGACTCTTTCCTCTCCCTTTCCCATCCCTTCCCCATCCCTTCCCTGTCCCTTTCCCATCCCTTCCCTGTCCCTTTCCCATCCCTTCCCTGTCCCTTTCCCATCTCTTCCCTGTCCCTTTCCCATCGCTTTCCCATCCCTTCCCCATTCCTTTCCCGTCCCTTTCCCGGTCAGCAGCGCTGCCGGCGTCCCTTTCCCATCCCTTCCCCGTTCCTTTCCCATCCCTTTCCCATCCCTTCCCCATTCCTTTCCAGTCCCTTTCCCGTCCTTTTCCCGGTCAGCAGCGCTGCCGGCATCCCTGTCCCTTCCCCATCCCTTCCCTGTCCCTTTCTTGTCCCTTCCCTGTCCCTTTCTCATACTTTTCCCATCCCTTTCCCGTCCCTTTCCCATCTCTTCCCTGTCCCTTCCCCATCCCTTCCCTGTCCCTTTCTTGTCCCTTCCCTGTCCCTTCCCCATCCCTTTCCCATCCCTTCCCCGTCCCTTTCCCATCCCTTCCCCGTTCCTTTCCCATCCCTTTCCCATCCCTTCCCCATTCCTTTCCAGTCCCTTTCCCGTCCTTTTCCCGGTCAGCAGCGCTGCCGGCATTCCCCCCTGCTCTGTGTGTGAGTGTGTGTGAGTGTGTGTGCGTGTGCCACAGCTCCCGCTCTCCCTTCTCCCCCTTCCCTCTCCTCCCGAGCCCCCTCCTCCATCCAGCTCCTGTTCTCCCCCGGGATGCGGGGCCGGCTCCCCGGGCCCCCGCAGCTCCCCGGGCCCCAGCCAGCCCTGGCCAGCGGGCACCCAGAGCCACAGGTAAGGGCCAGGAGGGATGAAGGGATCAATCCCAGGAGGGATTCTGGCTTGTTCCTGCCCCAGTTCCTGCCAGGCGGGAGGGGAAGGGCGATGCTGGCATGTCACCCCCTCGATGGCACCGCGGTGCCGCTCCCCCCGCGCTGATCTGCCCGTGGCATCTTGTGAATGGTCAAAGGGACACGGGCACGGCTGTAATTAATTAGCAGGCGGGGAAGGAGCAGCTTTCCTTAGGCTCAGCCCAGCCCTGCCCCGGGAGGAGCGGGGCCGGTTCTGGGTGATCTCCGTGGCAATGGGATTAGCGCTGGGCCTTTGATGCCGGGAGAAAACAGCAGCCTGTGCCTGTGCTTGTGCTGCACCTCGGGGATCTTCAGCATCCCGGCATCTCCCCCCGCCCTGCTTTGCTCCTGTCGTGGTTTTAAAATGGTGGATTGTGTTGGCCTCGAGTGTTTGGGTCTCTGTGGCATTGTGAGCGAGCGCTGGGGCTGAGCTGGTTAAAAACGAGACCAATTGGAGCGAAAAGATTCCGTGTGGGAGAGGACAGAGCTGTGCTGAGCCGAGGCTGGAGAGAAAACTTGCAGATAGCAGCGGCATGTGCGCTCTTTGGGGAAGAACCAGCTGGACTGGGGGTTTATTTTGCTCCTGCCCTGACTATGGGGCTGCTGTAACACCCCCAAAGCAGCGAGGGTCAGCTCCTGGCTCTCCCCTGGGCGGGGGAAATAATGTAATAATATCAGGCACAGCTGACAAATACAAGGGGCCCGTTGTGCTGGCATCCTCTCGGGCTGCTGCGCCCCATCCCAGCGGAACGCGCTGGAATTCCTCCAGCTGGGAATGGGGAGCCCACAGGTTGCAAAATGAGCGGGCTGAGCTGCCGTGCTGCCCTCCTCTCGTCCCTGCAGCCCCCAGAGCAGCGCTGGGACACGCCTGCCCTGTCCCCCTGTCCCCCTGTCCCCCTGCCACCCGGCTCTGGGGACAATGCCCATCTGGGCTTTGGCATCTCCCTCCAGCCTGGCAGGGCACGGGCGCTGCTGGCAGCCGCTCTCCCGAGGAGAAGCTGCTGCTGGATGCATCAGACATTTTTATGAAAGAAAAATCCGCTGGAGAAAAGAGGACGAGCTCGTCTCGCTCGCCTCATTTATATTTTAGCTCAGGCTACAGCAGCAGCCTCCAGAGATGGATGAAGGAGAAACCCCAGCTCGCCCTGGTGGCCGGCTCTGTTTGTATTTCATCCCAGGTGAGGTGTTTAAAGCCGAGCACGTGCTCAGGTGTTTTGCTGCGGTGGGAGCGTGTCCCTGGAGCAGCGGATGGCCCCAGGAATTCCTCGCTCAGGGCCCTGGATGCCCTGCGGGCCCCGGTCTGTGGAATAGCAGCGATAAGAGCAGAGCAGAAGCAGACCTTGTCCATCATAAATGGCTTTGGGGCTGCAGCTCCGAGGTCTGGGGCTGATTTTTAACACTCAATAAACAGCTCGTTTGCGGTAGCCAGCTCACTTTGCAGAACGCAGGCTGCTCGCGAGCACCTCGGATGATCTCCCGGCAGCACATTACCCTTGTCTGTCAGCAGGGCTGGCTCCCTGACCCGCAGATCCCGATGAAACCCCGCGAACACCGGGGCAGCCCGTGGCAGGGATCGCCGCGGATCCCTGTCCCAGCCTGCCAGCCGTGCACAGAGCCGTGCTCCAGCCGCTGCCATATTGACAGCAGCAGCGATGCCGAGGGCTGGGAGGGCTCCGAGGCTGCACAGAGCAGCTCTGTGTCAGCTCCCATCCCTTCTGCCTCCCTGCTCCGCGCTCGCAGCATCCTCCCCAGCGCTGCCCTCCGCCCAGCTGCTTCTGGCCGCGGCAGCGCCTTTCCTCGGAGAACGATTATGGAATTGTGATAAAAGTGCTTTAAAGGGAAAATTCTTCCCTTTGGTTCCCGCCTGCCCTTCTCAGCCTGGAGCTCCCTGCTTTGCTGTTGGTTTTGTGTCCTGCCTGCCCGGAGGGAGCAGGGGAAGCATCTGCTCCGCTGCAGCAGCCTCCGAGCCCAGGAGCCACAAGCATGGCCAGGAGTCGCTTCTGTCATTGACACAGGGGACAATTTAAATAGCTGCCACGCTCTCGAGCCGAG